GTCCAGAATTAGTAAAATTGTGAATAATATTAATATTAACATAATATGGAATATCAGTATATTTTAAACACAATTTGAATTTGAAATCTATGAACAAGTATTTTTCTTACCAGTACTCACTGGAAAATTAGTTAAATTTGCGCATTTTTGCACAATTCTGTCGCGGGCCGTAGTTTGGAGATCCTTGCTCTAGACAATCGGCTGACAGATGGCGGTAAGGTTGTCAGTCTTACGCGCTGGCTGTCCTATATCCCCCCCCCCCAGGAGGATTCCTGGTACTCATTTCTGTTAGAAGCTGAGTCGACCCCAGGGCCATAGTGCGGCTGGAAGGATTAGGTAAATTGAAAAAATCACCTCATCGGGACTCGTATCGGTGACCATCCGGGTTATAGCATAGTGCCTCAATCAACTACGCTACCGCCTGCCCCCAATTTTAATATTAATGCATTTTTATATAAAAGAGACATTATTAATTAATTCGCATAGTGGGGGGGGGTGGAGTCCAGTTGGGTCCACTCGGCACGGCGGCCACTGATTTGCCTATTGTACCTGCCCCTGGTGACTATGATGATGGAGAACTTTGTGGAATGAAGATTGGCAGGGGAAACTGAAGTACTCGGAAAAACCTACCCCAGCGCCACTTTGTCCATCACAAATGCCACTTGACCAGACCCGGGTTTGAGCCCGGGCCGCCGCGGTGGGATGCCAACGACTAACTNGGAATGAAGATTGGCAGGGGAAACTGAAGTACTCGGAGAAAAACTACCCAAGCGCCACTTTGTCCATCACAAATCCCACTTGACGAGACTCGGGTTTGAGCCCGGGCCGCCGCGGTGGGATGCCAGCGACTAACCGCTTGAGCTATGGCGCGAACTAAAAGAGACATTACGTAAACATAAAAATTTGAAAACCTGAACAAACACTGCCACAGTGTAAATAATTTCCAGCGTAGAGAGGACTAGCAGACATAAAAAGGTAAGAATTGTATATACCTGAGGAAGGCCAATAAGGCCGAAACATGTAGTAATTCATACAAAGGGTACCGTGAATGTATACAAAGAATTGTGTCGACGGAACAATAATAAAATAATCTCCCAGTTTGCATAATTTTTCGGCAAAAATTATGTATTTTCGATCTCCAATGTTTTCTATATTTCAACCGATCTCACCTTCCTTGCTTTCATTCATTCATTCATGAGTAATCTGTCAGACGACAGGTCCACAGCCTCTTCCAAAACAGTTCCTCCACTTAATGCGATCTTCTGTTTTTGGGAAGAGACTATCCAGGAAAAGTGATAATGTGGTAGTTTTTCCATTTGCTTTCCACATCGCAGTACAACAGCCGTTCAAACCACTCTGGTCACGCCTGTTGCTATACGAAATTGAACCATGTCGAGCATCATTTGTTCTGTGCTTCAAGTCGCTGCTGATGACGCTGCTTCCGGCATCAGTTTTTGGTGTCTCTCTTCGTCTAATGCCTACCCTTTGACCTGTCCAGCCCTGCCAGTAGCTACGCTACCGCTGGTATAGCTCTGAGGGTCCTTGGCATACTCAAACCCCCTCACCACGATAAGGTGGAGACACCAACGAGGGGGTCCTTGCTTTCATAATCCTAATAATATAGGGTGAAGAACAAAAATATTACGATCCTTCTCATAAATTCTTAAACACAATAAATTTCAGGATCCTTTGATGACAGCGTAAAGTTTGATTTAAAAAAAATAGTAATAATCATATGTGTATAATTTGGCCGCGCCATAGCTCAAGCGGTTAGTCTCTGGCTTCCCACCGCGGCAGCCCGGGTTCGATCCCGAGGCTGGTAAAGTGGGATTTGTGGTGGACAAAGTGGCGCTGGGGCAGGTTTTCTGCGAGTACTTCGGTTTCCCCTGCCAATTTTCATTCCACCAATTGCTCCACAATCACCCTCACCTATCATCTGGGGCTGGTACAGTAGGCCAGAAGTGGCTGCAGTACAAGGGACTTATTCCCACCCCATTAGCAATAAAAAAAATATATATAATTTTGACGTAAATAATATTTTCTACAGGACTCTGTATCATCTTAAGTTTGAATCGTTGTTTTGTTATGTTTCAGATCCGGAAGTATGGCAGGAAGGAAAGGTTTCGACATTGCGATCCGTCAGATACCATGTCCGTCCGTTTCAGCCCCAAATCGGGAATGCAGTTGTGAGTTCAGCAGTCACAACTTCATCCTTCATAGTCCTGGCTACCCGGGTCCGTACCCCAGCGACACGCACTGCCAGTCCGTCATACGCGCCGTAACAAGTTCACCTCAGCAGTCTCTTTGCCAAGTACAGTTTCGTTTCGTGAGTTTCCACGTCGACACTTCTGCCGGCTGCACTAAGGATCGGTTAGATATTGGTGACCAGGATACTGTCTGCGGATTCGTGAGCGGAGTCAGAACTTACGAATTTCTAGGGGAGTTACGGATAGATTTCTATTCGGACGGCATTGGAAATGATGGACGGTTCCTTATTAACATCGTACAACAAGGATGTAGGATTCTTAACATTCCGCCTCTGGAACTATTGCTTCCCGAGTCATCTCCACTGTTACCACCACAACAGCCACCAACAGTATATCCACCACAACAGCCACCAACAGTATTACCACTACTAATGCCACCACCAGTGTTACCACAACCAACATTAGCATCACAACAGCCATCACCACTGTTGCCACCACACCCGCCATCAACATTTATACCATCTACTCCAACTTCCTCGCCGTCTTACCTTCCCCTCTGCTGCAACAAGGTGTACAGTGGACGTGAACTCATCCTTGTGAGTCCCGGATTTCCGTTTAGCAACACCAATGAGAATGTAGACTGTCTATATGACATCCGTCCTTCCAGTCCGGACGTGTGTAGACTCAGGATTCTATTCAAGCTGTTCTGGGTTGGAGAGAAAGATAGTTATTCTGGGTGTTCCGGTAGTTTTCTGGAAATAGATGGACACTTTTACTGTGATTGTATAATTGGGCTTACTGTCATATCTCAGTTCGATGGTTGGGGGGATAGAAGGCAGAAATTGTTACGGTACAGGAAGGACTCTGATGTTAAGAATTCTGGTGGATTCTTATTGGAAGTTCTTCAAGAGGATTGTTCAGATCGGTCACCTTGGAGCAGACACGATACCAGTAACGAAACGTACAGGCAGAATGAACAATATTACAACATTTCTAACTCTCATAATGTCGGTATTGTCAATTCATATGCTAGACATATCACGGGACAAAGGAATTTTACTTCTCCCTGCACCGAGAGCATACAGGACGACAAAACAAACCGATCACGTGATATACATTTCAATCAGGAAAACAATGAACAGAATACCCCCGATATTCCCTGTAATGTTAGTAATGGAACAGAAATAGCAGATGTGTATTCGACTAATCATAGAGGTCATATCATTTACGGGAATGCGTCAGCTTACAGCCGTAGAAACAGTTCTGCTTTCCAAGAATCTGACTCGGCACTTACTCACAACAGTTCTGCTTTCCAAGAATCTGACTCGGCACTTACTCACAACAGAAAGAATAACAGTAAAATTCAACACAATTTAAGCCCTAATATTCCTGAGGAAAACAGATCAGATATTCATAACAACAGGGACACACATAAGCAGAACGTTCTTCCCCAAGAAAACATCACTATGAATAATTCGGATAAACAAACTTACAAGTATAATTTACTCCATAAAAATAATTCATTTTCTGATGAAAGTAACGTAACATCAGGAGAAACAGGAAATCACTTTAGTAATTTAATGACTAGGAAAGTACGTCAATATAATCACTATAATATTTTCAGTATTAAAACGAACACATCATCTATTCATGGTAAGGATATGTCTGAAAACTTTACAAAATATTGCAACGATATTAACTCAAAAGAAGGCAAACCAAATGTTTCTTCAGTTAGCAATATGAGGAATTTTGATCTCGGTTCCATTACGAACGACGTAGCTGGCAATAGGAAGTTTACATTATATAGAAAGAAATCTGCTCATACATCCATAAGTCAACACAACAGTTCAGCTCTGACTGCAACTGACAGTGGTCGCACGCAGGAGGTAACAATTCGGGAGAGACGAAATGTACTTTATTCTCAGTACAAAACAGACAGGTTCTGGTCCTCAGGAGAAAGCGCCTGTCCCATTTGGGGATTCACTCAGTGGCTCTTGAGAGTGAAGCAGTATTTCTGGAACAAGGTCCCACAACTGCTTTGCCCCCAGCTCCCTCCCTCAGCGGGACAGCGCTGTCAAGTCTTCAGCCAAGCCACAGGATGGATACAGTCACCGGGACACCCACAGGCCTATCCTCACAACCTCAGACTTTGCTACCGGTGAGTGTTCTCGTTTACAGGGTTCCTGTCTGCGAACGAGTCCTTGATTTTAATAGACTAGCACTCAACGTACTCACTTTCAGGATCAAGTTTTGCTAACGATGTAACTTGGACGAGAATGTACGTAATTGATACCAACATTGAAGTATACTATCTCCTGGGGTGTGGCACCGACGTTTCGGAGGAACGTATCGCCTCCATCTTCAGAGTATAAGAAATCCACGAACGATAAACCAGTTTAAGCAGGTGTCTGTAGACAGCCATCCCAGAAGATAGCCAACGCCTTGAAAACCTCAGATCTTAAATACCAACATTGAATTCTTTCTTGGGAAGACTTGAACTAGCTCTTATGCATATTAATGAGTTTTTCAGTGGGTAGATAGTGATTCAAAATGTTAAGCAGTAATACGATTGGCCATTCCTCCAACAAAATATCGTACATTTGAAATCACAAATTAAGTGATGGATTTTATGTGCGTTAATTTTTGGAAGAATACAGAGTTGGCTTTACGGGAGGAATATGAATTATTGACGTTGTCTGCGGGTACGTAATGCAGCTGGAGCAATTAGATAGGATAGCTGGGCGTTAGCAACGAGTGAAGAGAGAATTTGGGGGGAAGAGAAAGAGGCAGATATATAGATAACTAGGCAGTACGGTGAAGAAAACAGCAAAATGTAAGTTTGTGTATTAATAAGAGTATATATTATGGGGCATGCGGTAACGTAGTTGGTTGAAGTACTATGTAACAAGCCGGAAGGTCGCGGGTTCGATTCCCGATGAGGTCATGGATTTTTTAAACGACCTAATCCTTCCAGTCACACTGTGGCCCTGGGGTCGACACAGCCTCTATTTTTTTAATTCGCTTAGAGGGGGGTGAAGTCCAGCTGGGTCCACTCGGCACGTTGGCCACTGATTGGCCTATTGTAGCCTGCCCCGGGTGATTATGATGATGGAGAATTTGGTGGAATGAAGATTGGCAGGGGAAATCGAAGTACTCGAAGAAACCCCGCCCTAGCGCCACTTTCTCCACCACAAATCCCACTTGACCAGACCCGGGATCGAACCCGGGCCGCCGCGGTGGGAAGCCAGCGACTAACCGCTTGAGCTATGGCGCGACCCCGAATCAGTCGCTAACAGAAATGAGTACCAGGAAATTTCCTTAGGGGTAAAGCGCGGCCGGCGCATAAGGCTGGCAACCTTACCGCCATCTATGAGCCACTTGTCTAGAAAATGGGGATATTCTACGTTTCATAACCATATGAGTCTCCACGGCTTTACCTTTTACCATAAGTTGACAGTAACAGTTGACGGTGGGATGTACCCGTGCTTGCCTTTAAAGGAAAAGGGCACGTAACATGCATATTCAGTGAAATCTTGATTCTTAAGTGACCCTAAGGAGATACGTAGAATGTATGATGGTTGGTCATGGAAGGGTTTATTGAGAAGACCCATTAATTTTTCAACGCACACTTAACGAAGGAGGTTGGCTCAGCCGGTAATGCATCTAACTTGTATTCGGGAAGGGTTCGGTTAGAATTTCTGCCAGGACATCGACTACCCTGATCAAATTTTTTCGTTGTTTCCTTGGTATCTCCAGGCGAATACCCAAATTTTAATTTGAAATAGGCTACGGCTGCCTTCTTCTATATCCTTTCCAGTCTATTACTGCAACCCCCTTCCAGTTGTTTTCCCATTCACCACTCAAGACCCTCTCGGAGTCTGAACTGATGCTATATAATTTCTAAAGCAGAAAAAAATTGTTAAACAACCAAGGATAAATATGATACAAGATATTACGGTAACTGCCAGCCTAACGATTTCCATGAACCAGAGACCTTCTTGGGAAACAAATAGCCTCACAACTTCTCAAGAAATTCTCAACACATCACTTACAGAAAGAATTTGACGTAAGATATTAGAAACAAGTTGTATAACCTTTATTACAAGGAAACAATTCTGACTTATTTAGAAATACTAAGTCATAACAAAGCTACAACTTAGTCGAGTCTAGACACAACTGCATGTCATGTGGAAGACATAACATGTCAGCCTCCACTGTGTAACAGACACAGTTCACAAACGGGGAAAAACCGAAAGATAAATACTAAGAAACATATTTATCTTAGACATTAGTTCTACTTCAGTAATACAAATAAAATAACGAATATATTTCAGGTCTATGCATTTCAGCAGTGCTGAAGTTGATTTATATTCTCATTTAACCATTAATTAGGATATGATAATCATATACCACCTAGTTCAGCATTAATGATCGTGGCAAATCGGTAGTGTATATGTTGATTTCAGATGTTTCTTAGAACAGAAGACGACAATTAACTGAACTGATTTCATGTCAGGTGTATTGTGTGTTCTCTGTGAGGTACGAGCCAAACGTTTATTAGGAACATCACATCTGAAAATTGACAAAAACTGTTTCATGTTCGTTTCTTTGTTTCAATACAACACCTATAGGGAGTCCAACGGATATTATAAGGAATTTGATGTCCTCATAACGTTGACTGTGAAAAGTCCTGTCTTCTGGGATATAATGCCATAACGGTCTATGATTTTAAACGTTTTAAATCGTGTTATATCCCGTTACATAGAAATCGTTGAACTTTTATAAAATTTGATATTTACAAATTTGACTAAAATTTATTTAAGCGTAAATTAATATTCATCTAACTGAAATTTAATGCATACAACACATTTGAAATTGTATGTCTCACCTGCTTTAATATTAAAGAGATTTGAATCTTTCCTAAGCTGCTCGTTTGTGTTTTTAAGATTCGCAAAATAAACAGCGATTCTTTCTCTAACCATCATTGACGGGTTGTATTCTGTAATGACGATGTGGAATGTTTGCTTTGAAGTATGAACTTAGTTTGTTTCATTCTGATGAAAGTCATGCTTCCTAGGAGTTCATAAAGTCATCTCTGTTGTGGTCAGAAGTAGCCCTGGAGAGCCCGCAAACTTCACTTCTCTCCAAGTTAACGCCGTTTCTGTGAAATGTCTTGTTGCAGCCTGCCTCGCCTGTCAGGATTCTGTCAGATTCAACTCTTCATAATGGACTTCTCTTTGGAGCTCAGTGAAAACTGTGTCAAGGACTATATGCTGCTCGGTGGACACTGGCGCTACTGTGGCGAATCGTTATCATACACAGGCAGTAAGTAGTGAAGTCAGCATACGTAGACAATAAACTATAACGTAGATTTGCGCCACATAAGGCCGTACTCGTACACTCCTGAAAATTTTATTATGAAAGTAAAGTTACTGCTCTGTTTTCTCTAATACAGGAATGTTGTTGGACTAATGTTTACGTTCGTAAAGCTGTAAAAGACTGTCTTCGCTCGCTTGGAAGCCGGTATCGTGGGTTCGAATCCCACTCGGGGTATGGATGTTTGTGTGCGTTTTTCTGTGTTTGTGTACAGGTAGAGGCCTTGCGACGAGCTGATCACCCGCCTAAGGAGTCCTACCGAATGTGTAAGATCTAGAAAAACCGAAGTGAACGGAGAAGTTCATGGAGGTAAGCCTAGGCCCACTGGGGCTGTAGTGCCAAGGAAAAAAAAAAAGAAGTTGTAAAAGTGTAAAGGCAATATTTTATTCGTAATTTTAAGTCAACTAAAAATGTTTATATTAATTCCACTGTGATAATTATTTTTCATCCGTTCCTCTTATACCCTTATACTGGTGTCGAGGCTTTCTTTTATTCCTTTAATCATTCTACAGACGGTAGGTAGTGATTGGCCCGTCGCAAAACATCTACCTAAACACAGGACAACATACCACAGGAAAACGCATACACGCACAATCCTCCATGCTCTGATTGGGATTCGAACCCACAAGCGAAGACAGTGCATGCCTTAGACCGCTCGGCTACCGTGACCGGCAGTGTATAAAAATAATATATAAGAATTCAGTTCGTACCTCACAGGAAACAGATCGAACCCACGATCCCAGCTTCCGAGAGAGCGAAGACAGTACATGCCTTAGACCGCTCGGCTACCGTGACCGGCAGTAATAATTATGCGTATATAAAATCCTTTCCTCTCTCCAGTTTTTGCCGATTGTGGTGTGGTTGCTAGGTGACAATAATCATTTAATAATACAAAAACAGTCTATGTCTACCGACATTTCTTTGAATTGTTGAATTTAGATTGTGATCTTTTGTGTTAGAGCATGTAGTCCTACCGATGTTTACCGACATTTCAAGGTAAAATTGAAGATATAGACAGTATTTTCTTCGAAACATTGATTACCACAAATCAAACCTTCACTGTCTTGAAAACGTCAAGTTTCATAACTGATTTTTCTCTTCAATGTCAGAAAAGTTGTGGCACAAGTGATGTGGATCCTTTGTTTGGCAGGAAATGTGACAGGAATGAAAATCTTCCCCTGTTTTCAGCGCCGCCTTCCTCCATACGTCTTCATGGCAAGTGTTTGTGTTTCAGCGGTACTGGATATGTCTACCGCCCCACACATGGATCTGATCCTCGTGTCTGACAGGCAATACTCCGGGCGCGGCTTCAGAGCCTTCTATCGGCATGTTCCGTGCAACAGGCGAGATGCCCATCCTCAGGCTGGCTGTGGGCAGGTCACGGACCACAAGTACTTTACCCTGATTAGGAGCGGACGCGTGGAACAGGACTCGTGTGTCTACCGCATCTTCCGCAACAACACAGTAAGTCTCCTGTAGTCCGTACTGTAGCTTAGGCAGTTGTCTGCTTCCCGGGTTTGATCCTAGGTCAGGTCATGTGGTATTTGTGGTGGACAAAGTGGCACGGGGGCAGATTTCTTCCGAGTACTTCAGTTTCCCCTGCCAATTCTCATTCCACCAATTGCTTCATAACCATTTATCACCCGGGGCTGGTACAATAGATCAATTATTGTCCGACGTACCAAGTAGACTCTGCCTCACTCCGAAACTACAAAGAAAACAGTATGCACTTTTATTTAGTTTCCAGACCCAAGGGAAATGTAAAGAACCTCAGGGCAATGAATTGGTGAGGGTTCGGTAGGACACAATTGCGTTCACTTCTGAGTATGTCTTAATTAGAATTATGATGGTAGGGATACTGAAAACAATAAGCGAAATGAATAGTACAGACTTTTTGGGGTGAAACGTATTATAGTTTGGATAGAATCCGACGTTTCGGAGTATAATATCGCTTCCATCTTCAGGTTCTAAGAGTAAACGAAGCAAGAAACTAACAGAAGCAAGCGGCAAGCTTGGTTTAGATTTCCATTTTTTTTTGTGGGGGGAGGTTGTAACTTGGTTTACTCTTCTCTGAAGATTTAGGCACTTGGTTTACTCCGGTTAGCTTGACGTTACAACCAGAGTCCGTTCTCTTCATAGCTACCGTGAGAACTTCAAATCCGAAATGATAATAATGTATCTATTCATAATGCATTTAACGATGCTGTCTGTAGGTCATGTTCAAAGGGACAAAATATTTTCGACCATTCTCTTTTGTACAGTTATTGACTTTTTAATATTATCCACGTTTCAGAGACTGGACTCTGTCTTCGTCTTCAGATAAAAGCCTAATCGGTTAGACCTAAGCAAGGGAGCTAGCCCCTAACTCCGGATATCAGAACGATCAGAAACAACTCAAGACAGGATATATAAACCAAACACAACACGAACCACCAGCGGGAGTTAAGGCAAACTTTACAAAACTCCACATACATGAGACCTTGCACCTATGGCAATGACTAATTTAACGGCAAGAGTCTATTAAATTAGAGTACTGTCAGAACAAAAATTCAACAATAAAGAGATAAATTCTATTTTTTTTCTCCTTTCGGTTCGTTGAAGCGTCGCGTTGTTCCAGTCAGATTAATTGTTCGTAATTTATTGACGTAATGAATCTTGGATTTCCACAGGACAAGAAAGACTTCTCGAACAGCTGAGAGCCTCTCAGATCTAGTTATTGTTGCGATATGTTTCTCTTACCAGGATGTCTGCAGCCTCCAGCTGAACTTCTCAACTTCCGAACTTGTATGTGGTGAAGAATATCTTCAGATTGGAGACCAGTTTTACTGTGGACCTCTGTCCGGGAGACCCAGTAAGTTTATGTCTGTTGCTTGTAACCATGTCAGGGGAGGGGTTCTGACTTGCACGACAAATGCTGAAGGTTTCTGCATCGCGGACCATAAAGGCAGATTAAATAAATTTAGCCGATCACGGTAGCCGAGAACGTAATGTCTTCGCTCGCTCGGAAGCCGGGATCATGGGTTTGGATCTGTTTCCTGTGAGGTACGAACTGAATTCTTATATATTATTCTTATACACTGCCGGTTACGGTAGCCGAGCGGTCTAAGGCATGTACTGTCCTCGCTCTCGTTCGGAGGCCGGGATCGTGGGTTCGAATCTCACAGAAGGCATTAATGTTTGGTATATGTATGTGTTTATTCTGTGTTAAGGTTTTTCTGTGTTTAGGTAGAAGCCTTGCGGCTGATCACCCATCCAAGGAGTCCTACCGTCTGTAAAATGATCATGAAACAGAGAAATCAGCCCTGCGCTCCAAAGTGGGAGCGGGAGGAGGGAGAGACAAAAATGAATATATGAAATGGGCATGAATTGTCACAAAGAGGTCTAGAATTCCGATAAGAAAGTGTTCGTTAATTAGTCAAACGGAGCATTATAATAATTACAAACTTAAGTAATTTAATAATTCTCTTTAGCGCAGTCGGTATAGCAACTGGATTGGGGCTGGAAGGACGAGGGGTAGGAGTGCGAGTTCCGGTAGGGACAAAATCTTTTTCCCCACGTCGTCCAGACCCGTAATGGGTCCCACACAACCTCCTATCAAATGGGTACACGGGACTCTATCCCCGGGGTTAAAGCGGCCTGGGAAGGAAGTTAATCACTCCCTCCAAGTAATGTCGATGTCAAGAATACGTGGTTCTATACATCCACTCCTCTGTACATCTTCATGGCTTAGTGCTTAAGCAATAAATTTCCACGGGCAAAGCTCTCAGGCCTATTGCGATTTAGAATTAAAAATAAAAAAGGTAGAGCTATCCCTGTAACAGGCCGTGGAGGCCCATAGGGTTGTGAGACGTCGAGGCTCCCACGATTTTAGATAATCGGTTCACAGATAGTGGTGAGGATGTGAGTCACATGCGCTGGCTGCTCTTTACCCCCAGGAAGATTCCTAGTACTCATTTCTATTAGAGGCTGAGTCGACGACAAGGCCAGAGTGCGGCTGGAAGGATCAGGTCAAGTGAAAAAATCCACCTCATTGGAACTCGAACCCGCGACCTTTTGGCTTGCAGCATAGTGCCTCAACCAACTACGCCACCGCGTGCCCCTTCCATTTAGAATTAAATCTAAAAATAGAAATCTTTCAAGTTTGAACAGACTGCCCACGCAAGGTGCCAGAACAACGCAGTGCTGATATGACTGAACACGTATGCATGACTCGAGCAGAATTCAAACCCGGTATCTTAAAGTTCATAACTTAAAACACGCATACATTCGAAACGTATGTAAGGCACTTCTTAGACGTAAACTAAATGTAATTGATTATATCAGTGTATTTAAAATACTTAATTGTAAAGCCGCCTCTGTGGTCTAGTGGTCAGAGTTCTTGGCTACAGATCTAGAGGTACGGGTTCAATTTCCGGCGCTTTTTCTGAGAAGTAGTGGGTCTGGACCGGGCTCTACTCAGCCTCGTGAGGATAAATGAGAAGCTATATTTCAAGGAAATAGCGGCTCCTGTTTAGAAAAAAGAGATTAACGGCCGCGGGAATCCTTTGCGCTGACCACGTGACACCCTCTATCCTCTAAAGTTGGCACTAACTTCGCCGACAACAGGCGATCGCTCGGTCGGTATAGTTCGCTTGCGGACTAAAATCACGGAGTTTGTTTCCTTGTTTATTTGCAAGCAATCCCCATGTGGAAGCTGGTTAGGTTACCTCCACCGTAGCCCTCGTAGCACTCGTAAAAGTCGACGAAAAGAGAACCCGGTACCTAAAAATATAAATGGGCCACCCCCACTGGGAGACATAAATACAGAGACCTGGTCCTCGAGGTTGTGGGTTGGACGCAATGCTGACGACCTTGCTCTGTAGACGTTATCATTGCAAAGTCCAAAAATAAAAAACCGGATGTATTCTGGCAGAATGTCTTAAAGAAGGTTATGGCTACAGAAGGGATGTTTTGCCAATGACAATGATGATGATGATAAAATAGAATATAATGGAATCTTACAACCACATTCCAAGCTCCGATATTCCATTATCCTATATGATGGGCTCAGGGGTCATGAAATACGGGATAAAGCGGCCAAAGCGTGAAACTGAACACCTACATCCATTCAATGGAATAACCCTTTCCCTACGTATTCATAACATAGTGCTTAGGTACAGACACATACTCGTATGTCACTCGAGAAACTGAGTTGCGAATCTAAACGAAACTTGCGTAATTTTCTCTATTTCAGTTGAAGTGGATTTCTTCAAACCAGAAGTAACAATTGTTTACCAGAGAACTAGCCATCGAGGTCAAGGTCATTTCATCATCAAAGGAAAGCAGTTGGATGATTGTGATTTTGGACTATGTAAGTAAGACGAAACATGTGCTTTGTCGCTGTTTCTAATGTTAAGACTAATGAGCTGTTCTGGTAAATAGTGTCTGCTAGTTCCGACTTTTACGATAGTTCACAGTTCTTGGGAATGAAGTTCTGTTTATATATGTCAGCTTAATATTGCGATCCAGCACCAAATGTGATTACAGTTAAACAAAGGAAACAGCTCAGTAAAAAATTAAACTACCAAAATCATACCGATTTCTTAAGGCTTCTAATAACAATGTTAAAATTTAGTATTTTAATAATATCTGTCCAAGTTCTATAAATAGGAAAGAATCCAAATTTAGTATACTATTTATATCCGTCCAAGTTATATAAATATAAAGGAATCCAAATTTAGTATACTATTTATATCCGTCCAAGTTATATAAATATAAAGGAATCCAAATTTAGTATTTTATTTATATCTGTCCAAGTTCTATAAATATGAATGAATCCTTAAATTCCTTAGAGTTTTGCTTCCGTTTTGATACAGAAGATTACGTAAGAAGAAGCTTAATGAATTGAACCCTTAACAAGTGCTATCAAATGTAAAAGGGTAAGATGGTTGAACCTATAGCACGCATGTGTAGATGATAAATCTGTAACAGATTTAGACCAAAATTTGAAGGAAAGAGACCAGAATGTGTTAGTTCAGTTTAATTCGTTGGTTAATGTGATTAAAGAATACATACGAGTATACCATCAGTGCAGTTGGACTGCCTCTAAGTCCTTTATCTATCTGTATTACTTACTTACTTACTTACTCTTGGAGCTGAGCCCTTCTGGAGCAGCCGCTAATTGTGCTGCTGCTCAAGAATTTTCCAGCATTTTATGGGACCTGAAAGTTCATTACCGTGTTCACAAGAGCCCTCCAGCGGTCCCTATCCTGAGCCACCTCAATCCAATCCATACCATCCCATCTTTCTTAGATCCATTTTAATATTGTCCACCCACCTACGCCTTAGTCTTTCCTGTGGTCTCTTTCCTTGTGGCTTTCCCACCAATATCCTATACGCATTCTTCGTCTCCCCCATTCGTGCTACATGCCCTGCCCACCTCATCCTCCTTGACTTGATCATTCTAATTACACTTGGAGAAGAGTACAAATATTTACAGCATTTCATTTTTATATAGGGCGCTAGCATGGCAGTCTGTTTGGCACATTGTGCTTAGACTGTGCACATTCTGCTGTTTAATAACGAACACATTTAATTTCCTTTTTTGACAGCCGAAGTTCCATTAGCGGCCAGGGTATCCAATTCGTCCAACCAGTGCAACACTCAGCTGTCACAACTACGAGGATTTGTCTCTTCCCACAAATCCCAGCTGTCATCTTCTCACCCCAGAGCTTGTGGCTATGTTATCCTGCCACATGAGGGTATGCTCCTCAAATGAACTTCTCAGACTGAGACAAAATCCGATTTCATGAGAGCAGCTGTAATACACGTCGCTTGCTAATCTGTGTTAGGAAGGCGCTTGTTGAAACGCACCTGACCGTGTTGCATCCTGATTGCTTCCGCAAGACAGTTCGCTTAGCACCATATATATATATATAATCCGCGTGGTAGAGGTTCAGAAATTGGCCTTTTATAAACATATTTTTCTTATCGGGATTAGACCTGTTTTCCTTCTAAAGTTGAATGGAATTTCAGTCCGGAAATTTAAATATATATGAACGGTGGTATCAGATTAAAATTACATTCGCAAAGGAGTTAAGAGAAAACTAAAATTCGGAGACTTTTGCTAATATTCAGTTCAGAATATTTTGTTTCTTCGTCTCCTTTCCAGAGACTTACGAATTATAACATACAAGTTAACTTTTCTGGACATTATACATCATTATGTTTTTCTGAAGACACCGTTCTGTTTTTATTTGAAAACATAATATTTCGGAGAATGGATTCTGTCTCTGTCTTCAGGTAAAATCTACTAATTATATCGGTTAGTTCCATCTGAATAGGTTTTACCTGTAGAAGAAGAGAGAATCCATTTTCTGAAACGTTGTGTTTTTAAATAAAAACAGAAAAATATATTAATTAAAAACAGTGCGATGGATAATGTACAGAAACTTAACATTTATGTTAATGTATCATCGTCACAAATTTATTTCTTATTTAAATTTTATTTGTTGTTATTTATGAGTGTTAACCTCGATCCCTCATCCTAAGACAGGGAATTATATTGAGGGATGTGAGAATCGGGTGCTCAGGTGGTAATCTGGGCCCAACAGGTAAGACACAACAAGATGCTTCGTAATTTGCATTCCTACTCTTTCTATTCTGTGGAAAATGGTGCATCAAAATCTCATTCCGAGGCTAACTGAAATCTTCCTTCCATCGCTCCTTAGGTCGCACTAGTTCTCGTTTTCCTGCAGGATTTTAATCAATTGCTCGTAACTTTAAGCGGCCAGCGTTAATATTTTCAGCACCGTCCTCCCAGTTCTTGATCTATACTTTATCAGATATATTCAGGTTGGTTAAATCAAGGAAGAGATTGTTTTGGGCAAAATGTTGCACACCCAGGTTCCATCAGATACACGAAATTTCCTCTCATTAACATAATTTCAACAACAAATGACTATGCGAATTTCTGGCTTGGGAATTATGATTAAATCAAGGCCGAGACTGTCTTGAACACAATGATGAAAACTGAGGTTCCATAAAATACAGGAAATTTCCTCTTATTAAACTAATTTAAAAAACAAATGACTGTGCGAATTTTGTTGGAATTCTGGCATAATTTATTGCAGAAATCTGCACAATATGAAAAAAGAACAGTTTTCGTTAAGGCGCACCCACATTACTCGTGCTCGTGCTCGTGCTCGTGGTCGTCGGGAGACTCGTCTGGCTTCTACTTGTGTCCGTAAAGCTTCGTCCACACTACTTCAGTTGCTCGCCAGGCTTCGGCGCGTGAGGATCTGTATATTTACTCGTAGTGTGTATAGGCTGCAGTCGTATTTTAATTTATTGGCTATAGTTTTTAAATTAAAAATTTAAAATTTGCTTGTCTCGTGACTTGTCATATCGTCCACATTTCTCGCGAGCATAGCGAGTCACACGAGCACGAGTAATGTGGACGCGGCTTTAGGATAATTTTTGCAGCAACACGAAGCCCCTGCATTATCTGTACCTACCGATAAGTAACCAGTATACTGGGAGGAGGCATAGCACCGAGACACCAACCCATGCTGTAGGAGCGCGGGACAAGAAGCCAATGTAAAAGTGAAAACAGTAAAATTGTTCCTGTGCTCAACTGATTAAGCACTACGCCATGAAGGCGTATGTGGTATTGGATGTATAGATCCACGTATTCTTGACGTCGGCACTAGTTTGAGGTGAGTGGTCAGCTTCAGACCTCGGCCGCTTTGACTCCAGTGAAACAGTCCATAGTACCGATTGGATAGGAGACTGGTTGGGCTCCAGAACTAGTCTGGACGACGCGGATCGTGCCCCTATTGGGACTCGCTGTACGCACTGAGATGTCCCGTCTCTAAGAGATCACTGTACTTTATAATATCTGAGGTTCATATTGAAGACTCACACTGAGGTTTACTTAGTTATGATATACCGAGAGCTGCTTACTCTTCCTTCGGAAGAACATACAGTCTGAGTCTTCACGGAACAAATTATTGGTACACACTTACCAGAATACACCGTGTCACGAACCGGGTCTTTCAAGAGGAAATGCTTTATACTTATTCCGGAGGTTCTTGGTTTGAATTTCGGTTGAGACTGGCTATTCTGACTGAGAGTTTTCGTGGTTTTCCTCTAGGCAATTGCCACGAACGTTTCCTTCCGAATCCTTTCCAATTTATCTATCTTTCAACCATTCGACACAACATAATCTAGATAAGATAGCGTCGTTAAGCAACATGAAAGTATTATATAATAAATAGTGACTTTACCCTGAAGACAGCAACATAAATAAAAGCAGAGTATTCTCCATGTTCAGAGGATGCAATACATATTTCAAAAGTATTCACGGAATAGATCTATAGGCCAGACAGAAGAAAAAGTCATGGAAATTATTGAAAACACTTCTGGCGAATAAAGCCAGAATTATTCCATGTTCATTTGAATGATCCTAGACAGACTGCCACTTATTTTAGCCACACTGTGTGCTTTGTTCTCTCCAGGAATGTGCGCTGTGAGAATCGATTTCGGAGCCTTCCACGTGCCATCCACTGCGAAGTGTAAGTCAGCATTCATGGAGCTGCAGAAACGGAAATTTTGCAACAGTCAGCTTGACCACAGTGTCGCAGGTGAGAGACCTGGTACAGGTTGATTTCTTTTAACAGATCATAACATTCACTACCAAATTATAGAATGGTTAATAAACAAAGAACTGGGAATTGTGTGGTTGGTAGAGTTTATGGCTTAACTCGAGGTACCCACCTGTCATATACCTGGCGTGACTGAGTAAAACAGGCAAATTACTCATTATCCGAGCCTAGATTTTGACTGGGAACCTTCAGAAATTGAAGCAGGCGTATTGAAAGCTCGATTTCGATTTTTTTTTTATGCTAGTGGGGTGGGACTAAGTTCCTTGTACTGCGGCCACTTCTGGCCTATTGTACCAGCCCCAGATGATAGGTGAGGGTGATTGTGGAACAATTGGTGGAATGAAGATTGCCAGGGGAAACCGAAGTACTCGGAGAAAACCTGCCCCAGCGTCACTTTGTCTACCACAAATCCCGCTTGATCAGACCCCGGGATCGAACCCGGGCCGCCACGATGGGAAGCCAGCGACTAACCGCTTCAGCTATGGCGCGGCCCGATTTCGAAGTTAGGTTCCATAGAAACTGCGAAGCTAATAAATTCGAATCTAATTTATATATTGGGGTTATTTGGTTTTGGGGCTTTGTACAAGGACCGGTATTCTAATAACCACGGGGTGGGAGACACCTACCCTTTTCGATCCGTTAGAAAGGGAAAATGTGGATCGCTGGACAAACTATGTCACTATAGCTATAGCTACATACACGCCTGAGATCGGGGGGTTTTGAATGGGGATTATCGGTGTGGGTTTCGACGTAACAGATCAACTACAGATCAGATCTTTTGCATTCGTCTGATATTGGAGAAAAAATTGGAGTACAATGAGACATTATATCAGCTGTTTGTAGGCTTCAAGAGAGCCTATGCTTCAGTTAGGAGGGAAGTATTGTACAATATTCTGATAGAGTTTGGGATACCCATGGAACTATTTAGGTTGATTAAAATGTCTTTAAACGAAACTTTTATAAAGTCCGTATAGGTAAAAGTTTGTCTGATAAATTTCCTATCCAGAATGGTCTAAAACAAGGAGATGCTTTATCGCCACTCCTTTTCAACTTTGCCTTAGAATATGCAATTAGGAAGGTCCAGGGGAACCAGGTGGGACTGAAATTAAACGGGGCACATCAGCTGTTGGCCTATGCCGTTGATGTGAATCTACTGGGTGATAATGTAGATACCATAAAGAACTGATGCAAGTAAGGAGCTTGGTCTAGAAGTACACGCTGTCTCGTCACCAAAATGCAGAGCATAATCATTACATAAAGATAGGAAACAGATGTTTTGAAAATGTAGCACAGTTCAGATATTTGGGAACGACGATAACAAATCAAAAGCTGATTCAGGACGAAATTAAGAGGAGATTGAACTCTGGTAATGCTTGCTACCATTCAGTCCAGAACCTTTTGTCTTCTCGTCTGCTGTCAAAAAACATAAAAATTAGAATATACAAAACTATAATTTTGCCTGTGGTTCTGTACGGGTGTGAAACTTGGTCTCTGACATTAAGTGAGGAACATAGACTGAGGGTGTTTGGGAACAGGGTGTTGAGGAGAATATTTGGACCGAAGAGAGACGAAGTGACAGGAGGTTGGCGAAAACTGCATAATGAGGAGCTTCATAACTTGTACTCTTCTCCAAGTATTATTAGAATGATCAAGTCAAGGAGGATTAGGTGGGCAAGGCATGTAGCACAAATGGGGGAGACGAGGAATGCGTATAGGATATTGGTGGTAAAGCCAGAAGGAAAAAGACCACAGGGAAGACCAAGGCGTAGGTGGGAGGACAATATTAGAATGGATCTTAGAAAGAAAGGATGATATGGATTGGATTTATCTGGCTCAGGATAGTGACCAGTGGAGGGCTCTTGTGAACACGGTAATGAACCTTCGGGTTCCATAAAATGCTGGGAAATTCTTGAGTAGCTGCAGAATTGGCTGCTCCTCCAGAAGGGCTCAACTCCGTGAGTAAGTAAGTACACGCCTGAGACCGGGAGGTTTTGAAGGACAGACAACCGGACGTTGGAAGGGGCCCAAAGACTCAGTAATCCCTAGTGTTATACTTTCTTAGAATCTACTAATCAATGTGTTTTTCTATCTGCTCTTCTCTTGCTAATCATACTCTTAAATACCCTCAATTTACGTTATGTCCTTAAACTAGAAGATCACAGACACGAACTTGCCTACAAAATTTAGTGTTCTTTACGTTTTAAGTAGGAATTGAAAAAAAATAGATTCTTAAATAAATTGTAGCCAAATTTCTCATATTCCGCCTATTCTTAATTACCTCTTAAATGTAATTTTGATTTATTATTATCGATCTTGTCCATATGAACTTCGAGACACATTCAAAGGTTTTATTAATGGCTCTTACAGCCTGTTATTAACTCGCCCTTGTGACTAGACTTTAACATATAATTATGTGAGATTCGAGTTTGTCATGATGGTTTCTAGGAAGTACAATCTTGTAGGATACAAAGTCATGTACTCTGATAGAAGTTTATCGACGTTTAGGATAAACGTACTGCCTTCATCTTCAGGACCGAAGAATATCTAGTTGCTTCTTCGATTTACGATTCGATTCTGAAGATGGAGGCAGAATATATTTTTTTGAAACCTGTATCATATTGCATGGCGCCAGATATTATGTATATTTGTAGACAGTTCTATCAGGATTTATTTACAGATCAATTTGCTTACTAGTGTCTATATTTTCTTATGGTGTTTATATTTATGTTATATTTCATCAAATTAATTAATACTGTCAACCATGTCCGAAGGTGCTGTGTACTTTTTATTTCAATGCTTCATTATTTTCTTGGAACTAAAGCAATATCAACAAACAGATTTCCTAACAGTGCAGTTTGTAATTCGGAGTTTTATTCAAAGGTATTTCCCATTCTCTATTTGTAGTAGTAGCAGGTTTTATTATCAGTTTAATCCTTTGAAACAACACTGCCATCTTCTTCTCCTGCTTCCATTCCCTCCGGCGAATGCTAGACTGCAACTGACTGGTTACTCCCTCTCACTGACGAATACTCCTGTTATGTTACGTGATAGCTTTCACTTTTGCGTGACATCGTGTTTACCGATTGCCTAGCAACAGTCGCTGCACGGGCTCCACTGTTGCGTGACGCTGTGTTTACATAAGCGTTGCTGAGGAACGCTGCCAAGAGTTGTTTATTTCTGTGTAGCAACCGGCGCGCTTCGGCTCGGCTCGGCTCACTTCGGCTCTACTCGGCATGGTACTGAGAAACACCGCTTTCCTTACTGTTGCGTAACTTGGCAACCGACCGTTTATCAAGGGTCTGTCTTCGTGGTAACTCGTTCCACCTCCCGTTGCCCAGCAACGTTTAGACAAGTCACAATATATAAAGTTATTTACGAGGTAATTTTATCTCTGTAATAATTGGGTTATTCACTAAATAATGTGTTCCTTTTCATTTGTATACTTAGTTGTAAGGTCTATGCAAATTATAGTACTAATTTCAGCCTCACATGTCCCTCTATAATAACACCACCAGACAGAAAAATATGCGTATTGCATAATCCCTTGGAAATGTGTCTTGTTGAAATTTCGGATTAATTTAGAGAATGTTCACAGTCGACACTTCCAATTTATATGGAAACTCTTCCAAGACTTAATGAATATTTGTCCTAGAGGACATTGTCCACGTTATATCGGAAGGTCATATATAAAGCTGCGGTTCAATTTTCATATGCAGATTGTTACAAGATGACTTTAATTATTTTGCAAAGTTTATAAATTAATATACGAAACTTTTGGAATAGAGTTTTGATCCATTTCTGTTGGACTTATAAGAAGTTGTCGTTCGTGAGAACATTGATTAATCCAGTGCTTGTGGATGTAAAGTTAAAGTGACTGTACACTGCAGATTTTTTAAAGTACTCGTAAAGAAATTATCATTACCCCTTCGAAGTACAATGGATATAAAGTATGTCGCCTATTTTCACGTTATAAAAATCCGTATTTTGTCCACTGTGTAAATTTGTGTGTTTCGTATGATTCTTAGTATAAAAGATAGTTAATTTCTTAAACAACACTTACTGATTAATATTTGTGACAGAGACATAGTTTGTTTTTCCTGTAAGGCAAGAACCGAATTCCTAAATATTATTTAGAGAAAATTCGGGCTTCAACAGATCAAATTAGGGGCACTTCTGTTGGTTATCCTTTCGAGATGAAACGTCAGATTATTTACGTTTTATTTTGATTTCACTTTTTTAATGAACTTATGTAATTTGTGTTTTTAGTCGTACAAAGATTTTGGCACTTATCAGTGACCCAGTGTGTGTTGTCGAAATTCTCTTTTAAACCGTTCGTTTCTACTCCAGTTTCAAATTATTACAGTACTGTTATGTTACCGCTATTCTTGTCTGAGGCTGTTTCCTCAAGAGTAAAACGGTCCAAGCGTAAAGCTGATCACTCATCTCCATTTAGTGCCGAGCATAATTATGTGTGGAGCTAAACCTCCACCCCCTCAAACCTTTTCATGGTGTAGTAATCAATTAAGCTCACGTAATCTTCAACTTTGTTTGTTGTAACACCGCAAATCCGACACACTCCTATATAGCTAACTCCTGTATGTTTAGCTTCAATATTTCTTCTACTCCACATATCAGTTAAACCCAATATATTCATTGCTGCTGAAATATGTTCACCGCGCCGTTGCCTACCTACGGCCACGTCTTCTTGTTCCAATATTCTGACTTTCAGCCATCATATCACAACTCAGTAAAGAGTTTGGAAAGTTACACTTCATAATATTATATACAAAATTTACAGTGGCGTTTTTTAATATTTATTACGCTTATTAGTGCTGTCGATATTACGACTAGGCTACGAGTTGGACGACCAAGGGATCGGGGTTCGAATCATAGCATCGGCAAGAGACTTTGACTCCTCTCCAGCTGTGAGACCCGCCCACCCTTCCAGTCTGTGGATAAGTTAGGTTCTTTCCCCTGAGGTAAAACGGCCAGGGCGTAAATCTAAACCACTCACCTCAATCAAGTTCTGAAGTTAAGGATGTGTCGAGCTATACTTCCGCTCCTTAGACGTCTTCATGGCCTGGTACTTAATTAAGCTTAGGGACACATTTGCTTTTAACTTTGCGGCTTGTGTATATATAGCCCTAAATGAAGCTGTATTTATTATGGGCCAGCATGACTGGAAACAGAGAACTGCCGGATTGCCTTTAATAAAATTCTTAAGCAAAATGTGATGTTATCCCTGTGCTTAATCAATTAAGCACCGCACTATGAAGACGTGTGGAAGAGTTGGGGTACGCTTCGCCATTTTTTTACCTCGGTTTGCACTAACTTCGCCGACAAGCGGCGGTCGCTCGGTCGGTATAGTTCACTTGCGGACTACATGCCACAGAGTTAGTTATTAGATGAAGATGAGTGGTCAGTTTCACGTTCCGGCCGCTACACCCCTCGAGGAAAGACCCCCGGTACCCAATGGATAGGAGGCTGGGCAGACATAAGAGATGGTCTAGGCTCTGTGGAGTAGAGAAAAATCTATTTCCCCTGCCGGGAATCGAACTCCTGCCGTGCCGCCCATATTTCGTTGCTATACCGACTGATCTATCCCTGCTAGTGAAAGTCTCCTGTATCAAATAAGAAAAAGACGCAGCATGTCCTACGGTTTAGGCGCTGGTGCAAGGTCACAGAGGGACAAATATGACCTCTACATAACAAATGTATTTTCTTGTATTTAAAGAGTGAATAAAATTCATACATGCCACTCAGCTGTTGAAGATTTGGAACTTTTGATGTGACTTACAGAGGAAGAACTAAGGCTGGGACCACACGAGCGCACAAAATGCGTCCGTTGTAACGCACGTCGTGAAGTCCGTTGTAGAAATAAGCAAGAGAGGCGAATGCTACGCTTTCTTCTGGCTCCGTGCAGACAAAAAACTACGCACCGAATTCTGCAACTGTGTGGTGTCCTCAGCAACGTCCGTCATAAAGTACGTTCGTTGCAACGGACGTACTTACAGCGCTCGTGTGGCCCCAGCCTAAAGGTTCATGCGGTAAAACAACCAGAACCAATGGATCTGTTTCCTTGCAGTGTCGTTTTCTGTATGTTTCTTCAAAGACTCATCAGCTGTTGTGTTTACAGTGCTTCGAATCATGAATGAGACGATGCTGTTGAACGTGTTGCGAAAGGCTGTGAGAGGAAGTGGTCGTAGCCTGAATTAGGTACTATCCCAATATTTGGGTGGAGGGACTGAGCAAAACCACAGTAAATATCAGCCACAATATCAAGATTACTCTCTCGTTGGATTTGATGCGGTGAAATTTGGTAGATAGTTATTAACGTTTCGGAAGAAACTGTTGCCTTCATCTTAGGGTAGAGTCTTTCGCCCTGAAGACGGGCACTAGGTTCCTCCGAAATGTTGACACATGATTACAAAACTACACCTCGTCATATCCCGGAAGACTGTCGTCTACATACTCATCGTTCTGAGAATCACAAAATCTTACGTCACCGATAATTGCCTATCTTTTGGCTGAGAATCGAACTAGGGACCGTTAAAATGTGTTGCGCTAGTGTCAATAACCAAACATAGTATTCATCATATCGGAAAGAACCTGTATCCACTGTGAGCTTTTTAAATGTTTTATCTTTAACGGAAATAAGGAGAGATGGGAAACGCAACGTTGTGTGCAGTCGTGGCCGAGTGGTTAAGGCGTCTGACTAGAAATCAGATTCCCTCTGGGAGCGTAGGTTCGAGTCCTACCGACTGCGATTTTTTTTTTTTAGATTTATTGAATTTCATTTTTTTCTGCTGCCTAATTTCTAACCTAACGTAATTATGTGCTTACATAGTTTTGTGTTGGTACATTTTTAGCCGTTTGCAGTCGGTAATTCTATTGGAACACTAATTTCACAAGAAAGTGATAATCACTCAGCTATTCGCGATGCCAGTCACTTCTGTGGAAAATAAGTAGTTTTTATCGACTTCAGTAGAACCCGACAGTGGACCCTCTCTTCACCCAGCCGAATTCAGTCTGCACCCTAACACCCTATTTCATTAAGATCCATCACAATATTATTCTTCCACGATGCGTCGCTCTCACAAAGGGCTTCCTCCTTTTTCTTCAGGCACCTCGACTAAAATTTTATATTCATGTCATATCTCTCCCACGCTGGCTACATGCCCCCCCCCAATCCCATTTAATTCTTCTTGATTTGAGTCCTTAAAAATAACCCGTGAAAGGTAGAGACTGTGAAGCTCTTCATTACGTATTTCCTCTCCTTTCTAACATTTTTCCTCTTACTTGCAAATACTTTTTTCAGCGTCTTGTTCTGAAATATTCGAACTTCTGTTAGGCTGAGTGACTAAGTTTCACACCCGTACACAAAATACAATTATGGTTTCATATACTTCAGCGATTAGACTTTTAATAGAAGGCGCATCACAAGTTTATGAAAGGAAGTTGTCGATATATTCCCTACATTAAAATTTTAAAGCACACTGGTAACTTTTTATACCACCCACCTTAATGTTAGAAAACTGTGCGTTGTCCCCACAAAATGCATTTATGTGTCGTGTAAAATTCTCGCAATAAACAAAGATTACTTCCCTGAACAACACTAATCGACTGTTTTTTAATGGTAAAGCAGTCTTTTTTTGTCAGAAAGCAACTACATGTTTGAAAAATATGTAGACAAGTTTCAGGTTTCAATGGGCTATCGGTCAGTGTTTTGCTAAATGTTTGTGCTTGCACCTGTATAGTTCCATAGTACTGTTATCCGATTGCGTTGTTCGTCATAGAAACCGAGTAAATACTGTAAGTGCATGAATCAATCAATCACCAATGATCTATACTCGCATATGGAACTAAGCTGAGAAATACGGCTATAGTTCATTAACAATCTGATTATAGCAGACATAACAGGACTCAGTCCTATCTTGTGTTTTCAGTGATCGACTTCCACGGGTCAGAGTTGAGAATTCCATTCTACGTCCAAGGAAACGTTGGGAATTTCCAGTGGAACTTCACTTACACGCAGCTTCCGTGTTCAGAAACAGTCACGAGGGAGACAAGGAAATCTCAAAATGGAGTTCAACCCGTAGGTTACAGACCATAAGGGGTTATATATCTGTTAAATATTTTATATCGTTTGGAAAGAAGATTACAATTTTTCTTAAATTAAATTCTTTTACAAAATTGCTTAAAACATTGGCTGACACAGAAACTACTGTCCGTCATCAGATTTAATTTATTCTCTGGATTATTTAAATACATTTCAAATAAATCATTAGGCCGTGCCATATCTCAAGCGGTTAGTCGCTGGCTTTCCACCGCGGCGGCTCGGGTTCGATCCCGGGTCTGGTCAAGTGGGATTTGTGGTGGACAAAGTGGCGCTGGGGCAGGTTTTCTCCGAGTACTTCTGTTTCCCCTGCCAATCTTCATTCCACCAATTGCTCCACAATCACCCTCACCTATCATCTGGGGCTGGTACAATAGGCCAGAAGTGGCCGCAGTACAAGGGACTCAGTCCCACCCCACTAGCAACAGAAAAAAACTAAATCATTAAGCCTCTACAGTGTAGAATAACTCGATGATTGTGAATGATGAATAGGAAATGGTACGAGAGGTAGCGATAGGGGACGATTTTAAGGGTTTATTCCAAAGAGGACAATTCACAGTTCATGTAAGGGTAATAATAAAAGATAAAATCCTTTCGGTTTTGCTTCTCTAATTACAGACCTGTATTTAAAGGACACGCTAAATCCTCAAGACACTGAAATGCAGATAGCGTTTTACAGGATTATGGCACAGTACAGTTTGGTAGGTAGTCATGAATGTTCCGAAGACACATGTCGCTTTCATTCTCAGCCTGAAGATGAAGGCAGTAGGTTCCCTCGAAACGCTAGCACCCATCTTTCCTGGCCGCGCCATACCCTAACCTAGAACCACAGCCTTCAATCCTGCGTTTTATTTTCAAGGGCGAACTCAGCTATCAGCTGTTGTTATCAAGGCAGCATCAAGACAAACAACTCAACACTATGACAACTGAAGTCAAATTTCTGAGCTTTTCTCACAAGAAATTTATTTAAAAATCAACTACATAAATGTATTTACGAAAATTACATTCAGGAAATAAGTATTCGTGGAGATTTAGTCATAGGGTATATGGGGACAACTGTGTTAGAACATTTCATGATAATGCACAATATAATTTTAAATTAAAATTAATTAATTAATTAATCAGAATCATAAATTTAAATATGGTGACACTATGAATAATTCTGGGCCGCAAACTACGTTAGGTAATTGTTAATTTAATCTTATTGGTTATTGCAGTCCCTAAACAGAAGTGACACAATCATTTATCTGTATAGTCTGTTGAAATGCTCACAACATTATCATAGGATGTTAAAACAAACTAAACAGGACGTCTGAGAGGAAACTCGGAAAATAAAGAAAAGTTTATTTTATTCTAATGATCCAGAAAAAATATTATTATCCATATTGCTACAGTACGGAGTGATTTAAGATCCAGAATAGTTGGCGAGAGACATGAATTAAAAATGAGAATTTTATGTATTCACAGCGTTTCGGAAGAGGGACTGAGGTTACTTCAATTTAACACGGGGCATAGAAATAATTAATACTGTTCTATATTCGACATAATAATTATCACATGTATAGAAATAAGATCACCTGTTTCCTTTAACTCAAAGAAAAATATAAACATATGGTGCAACAAATCATTAATTATATCGAATCAGAAATGTTGTTATGCGCTTTCGGCTTTGCATGTAAGCAGCGTTATGATCTCGGCCAAAGTTTCAGTATGTACAATTATTACATTAAATATTTTTTACAGTATCCGGGAAGAACATACTGTATCTTTATTATTACAACCACTGAGTTGGCAGTAGGTATAAAGTAAATATTACTCATGATGACCCGAGAAGATGTTACATTTTATTTGGTTTATTTGGTATAAGAACGAGCATTCATAGAGTATTATTATGCGAAACTGGAACAGATTTGATTGCCTGTACCAAGAATTGATGAGGTATACTTTTGTGAAATACGAAGGTCTCCTCATTTACCTGTTTCATGTTGTGAACAATGAAAGCATCCAAAGATATTACTAAAATTGTTCCTCACTTTTATAAATTTGTACGGTAATCACAGTTATTAAAGCGATGTGTGTATATTATGGCAAAGTGATTCGAAACGTCACACGCATTATTTTAATTACATGCGCAAACTTAAATTTAAAATTGTATTGTTATCCCATCTCTAACTGCAGAGCTAACATGTAAGGCGTTACAAAGAAAGCAGCATATCTCACACGAAGAATAAGTAATTATTCTAATAAGTAACGTTATCACTATGTAAAAATGTCTGTGTACACATACAGCTCTATATTAACCCAGTTATTTCGTTCAAACAATTAAATACTTCAGAGATTTATAATAAAACATACTGAACAATCATCATTATTGTAATCGCATTTCTTTGTGAGAGAACAATTTAATCCCAGAATAATTTCCGAATATTATTGAATATTATACAGTAATTTGGTGTGGTTCTTTGAGAGAGGCAATTACACAAATTTCATGTTAATGGCTTAATAAATAACTGGACATTTTAACACGAATCTTACGATAAATAGATCTTATAAGCAATCTAGATCGTTTGATTTATCTTAAATGTAAGATAATTATATTAAGTATATTAAAAGAGGACATGTTTTAAAAGTTATGAATAATAACAATATTAAATCTTGATAATATACTCGTATGTCACACCGTGCATCATGTTATCCGTAATTCAGGATCTCTCTTCAATTTGGACACTTTTGGTAATTGGTGGTATGAAAGAAACTTAGTTGAAATTAAACCAAAACAAATTATTTGTATGCCTAGAACATTATACTGCGATTTCAGTTTAGTATAGAGAAGACAAATTGAAAAATATATTTATCTCTGAGACGAAACATTAAAATTACTATAAATAACTTAAAATGGCTCAAAAAGCATGATTTTGCTATGGATAGGCCAAACATCTGTGCGCTATATGTACTGTGTGCATAATTTGAATTGGAAACTTGTTTTAAAGTTTCGAATACACGTTCTTAAAAATAGAGGTAAGTGATGTTTGCCATCTACAATGTTCTGTGGACATCTAAAAACTGGGCTGAAATAATAGGTTCACATATTTGTTATTATCAAAGAAGAAAAAAGTTGCAAATATTTGACTGTACTTTAGATCAATTTATTCACATTTGTATGAGCAAACATATCACATTAAAGCATCTGAGATAATGTATTATCATAAACATGACGTTTCGTAATGCATAATGAACTACAGTAAGAACGGCGAAAGAACTCGGAGACATCGATTAATACTTTTAAAATCTGCAGGAACTACAAGACATTTATTATTGTTGTCTTTAGTACCACCTCTTGTTATGTGAAAAAATTTCATTTTCGACGTCCAAGAAACCGGATATTGGTGAAAATTGTACTGGCTGGTCGCTTCCGGTTACAGAAGTTAACAGTACGCCTAGTGTTTCCCTCCCTGGCCTCATGGAGCGCCACCAGCAGCTGGAAGACATCTTCTCGGGTAGGGTTACACATATATCGGCTAGCGTCCGCGTACTGGGAACGGTGACGCCCATTTTGACGCTTCCAAGGATAGCGTCGGTAATACCGAGAGCGTTTCCATGGTACCGACAAAGCGTCATCTTCTTCTGACCCCTCGCTGTTGGCGTCCTCCACGTAGAGAAGAGGCAACTCGTTAGAGTCCCAGAGCTCATGTTCCCGCAGCAGTTGCTCCAAGTAGGAGGCCAAGAGGTCCGTGTCAGATTCCCATTTCGGGCTCAGGACGTTATTCTCAGCTTCTGCGGAACAAAGGAACAATTCAAATACACAATAATTCACTTACTTATTTGTTTTAGGTCTTATAAATGCAAATTTCTTTCGTTTAATTTTCAATTTTTATTATAATTAGTGCTTTACTCGATGCCACAGGCCACGCGCTTAAAAGTCCGAGTTCAATTACCGTCAGGATCAAATTTTTTCTCTTTTCGACACCTTCCAGACCGGTTCTAGGACCCACCCAGCCTCTTAACCATTGGGTACCAGGTGTTNGATAAAACGGCAGTGGCGTAAAGCTGTCCACTCACCTCAATCTAGTGCCGAGGCCAAGAATGGTGGAGCTGTACCTCCACTTCCCTTTATGTCTTCATGGCAAGGTGCGTAATTAATTAAGCACAGAAACAAATTTGCCTCTTTACCTTTCTTTGAGCGATGAAAGGAAAATGCAGTGAAGGTGAAGATGAAAACATGACCGAAACACGTACCAGTAACAATGACAAGTGTAAGCTAAATATGACAGTGGGCAACAACCATTTATCCACTGAACATTTGCCGAAGTTGTGTTAATGCGACTGAAATAAATAACTAAACACTAATTTCATTTTAAGTCAGTTAAGGAGACAATGCTCTATGTATTGTGTATATAATTTGAGTTATACTACTGAAGCGAAGATTCATATTATAGTCTTCTGAATTACGGCGCGGTTGACTGGTATGGGGTTATAACCTGACTCCATCTTCAAGGTATAGGGAAGCCAAGTTTTGAAAGTGACAGGTTATATGGGGGAGGGGGGGGCATGAAGACCAAACGTTCTTTCGTATTTGCAATTTCACACCTCACCTCCTGCAGTTGTTGCCCATTTCAGAGGATATGGTTCCCATAGGCCAACCCTAAGCCCCCCTCCCAGCCTCCCCGTCTCTCCGCCTGTAGTCCTTCATTGCCAATTTTCCAACACCTCTCCTTTATACCCTGCCGCTTTAAAGCGTAACTAACTTCTACCATGAAGACGGAGACTGTGTTTTCCTCGGAAATTCTGATAACTATCAGCGAGACTACACGGTACCATAATATTAAGGACTTGCCAAGGATCGACGTACAAGTAATGAGTGAGCCATCTCTTAACCCAGAAAACATACAAAAAAATAAACTATTGGAGGAGAAAATATTTCCTTGCGATATAATATTTGTATTTTCTAATATGGTCATTGATCATGGCTTAGAAATAATAGTCTTGCGGTCCATTCCAGCATGTGTAAGTTTTTTCCCTGTGGCGCTACAGCCCCAATTTGGGCCTAGGCCTACCTCCATGAAACTCTCCTTTTCACTTCGGTTTACTAGATCTTAGACATACGGTAGGACTCCTTGGGCGAGTGACCAGCTCGTCGCAAGGCCTCTACCTGTAGACAAACACAGAAAAATGCACATAAACATCCATGCCCTGAGTGGAATTCGAAGCCACGATCCCGGCTGCCGAGCGAGCGAAGACAGTGCACGCCTTAGACCGCTTGGCTACCGTGACCGGCGATGTGTAAGTTTAGGGGCCATAAAATTTCGAATGCTAAAATTTAAGGTACATAAAAATATTAAACACAAAATCTCTAAATCTCTTTGTTGGATTTGAAGGGCATTACCTAAACAAGACGTTATCAGTAGAGGTCGGTGCATCAGGAAATTAGATGTTATGAATCCGGGACGCCATGTTATGCATCACTTAGATTCATTTCTTAACATTGTTGCAAGTCAATACGCAATCAAATGGAAACTGATGTTTCACACAGAGCCCTAACAAGGTTAGTATCGAATGGCGTGCATTATAGAAATAAAACTTACTATAGGAAGTGTTTCTAAGTATCTCGGAATGCCTGTTCAGGAGTTTCTCCCGTTTGCCTACAGTCACATGTTAGTCACGTCACACACGTCCGCTCTGCGTGCTAAGAAAGACGACACTGCTGCTCTCTTGAGGAATGAACTGCAAGTTTGTCAGTACGCCTCGCGCATTTCGTGCTATACAAGGACTGCGAGTTATATTACGAATCTTTTTAACTTTTTGTTCAGGTTTATTGAAGTACGCTGCAGTAGTTAGGCTATGTAAAGGCTGCGCCATAGCTCAAGCAGTTACTCGCTGGCTTCCCACCGCGGCGGCCCGGGTTCGATCCGGGTCGCTTAAGTGAGATTTTTGATGCACTAAGTGGCGTTCGACCGGGTTTTCTCCGACTACTTCGGTTTCCCCTGCCAATCTTCATTCTACCAAATCTCCATCATCATAATCACCCGGGGCAAGTACAATAGACCAATGAGTGGCCGACGTGCCGAGTGGACCCAGTTAGAGTCCACCCCCACCACTATGCGAATTTGGCTATGTAAGGTCTAATGGTAGCCGGTCACGGTAGCCGAGCGGTCTAAGGCGTGCACTGTCTTCGCTCGCTCGGAAGCCGGGATCGTGGGTTCGAATCCCACTCAGGGCATGGATGTTTGTGTGCGTTTTTCTGTGTTTGTGTACAGGTAGAGGCCTTGCGACGAGCTGATCACCCGCCCAAGGAGTCTTACCGTATGTCTAAGATCTAGAAAAACCGAAGTGAACGGAGAAGTACATGGAGGTAGGCCTAGGCCCACTGGGGCTGTAGTGCCAAGAAAAAGAAAGTCTAATGGTAGGATAATTAGTCATTAATGAATTGGAGAGAACATGGAAGGAAGTGGTCGTGGCACAATTTGAGATAAGTTCTTTACATTTGCCTAGCAAAGCAAAGAAAACCGCGAAAGACCTGGCAGTATAACTGGTCTCCAGGAGGAGAACTGAACCCAGGATATCAAAAATACAAAACAGACAAAGTAGGAAGGTGAAATTGTCCATGTGCTTAATTAATATAGCACTATGTCATGACAACATTTTAGGTATAGCTCCACCCTCCTTGACCTCACCATGAGATGGAGATGAGCGGTCAGCTTCACGTAACCGCTGCTATACCCCCAGGAAATTGCCACTTGTGTCTATTGGATAGGAAGGCCGGTGAGCCTCGAAGGCTGTCTGCAAGCTATGGAAAAGAAGAAAATATTTCCCCAGCCGGAAATCGAGTCCCGACCATCCAACCCGTATAGCACGTCAATATACCAATTGTGCTGTCCCAGCTCCATGGAAAGCTATGATGCTTATACAGCAGAGCATATAAAAATGTAATTTTTTTTAAGGGAAATAACCATCGACATCCAATGGATAGGTCGATGGGTGGGCCCAGAACCAGTCGGGAAGAAGTGGACAGGAGAGAAACCTCACGCCTTTGCCAAGAATCGAAACACAGTCCCTCGGTTATACAGCTCATACCCCAGTTGAGCTGCACCTGATCCCAGCTCGCACACCTATAAGAGTATTATTCTTGTTAGATTTCTCGCTGTTGTTCAGAGCTCCCTATCTGCATAACTATTTAACGACAATTACAAGAGCGTGTATGTTGACATAGACCACCTCTGTAGTCTAGTGGTCAGAGTTTCTGGCTATAGATCCAGAGGTCCCAGGTTCGATTCCTGGCGCTAACCAGATTTTCTGAGAAGTAGTGGGTTTGGAACGGGGTCCATTCCGCCTCATGAGGATAACTGAGGAGCTGTTTCAAGGAAATAGTGGCTTCGGTCTAGAAAACCGAGATTAAGGGCCGTGGGGATTCTTTGCGCTGACCACGTGACACCCTCTATCCGCTAAAGTTGGCACTAACTTCGCCGAAAAGTGGCGGTCGCTTGTTCGGTATAGTTCATTTGAGGACTACAGGCGACGGAATATGATGACACAAGCGGAAACGATGCCGACTTACAAGCGGATGGTACTGGATTCAAATCTCGGTAGAGCCACCGACTATTCTCACAGAGATATTATGTGGGGCTTTTTCAGTACCTCTGGGAAAAGTTTGGAATGGTATTTTTATATTCAGCCACGACCACTTCCTTCCATATCCATTTTAATTCGTTATTCATTTTCAATTATTCTTTCGTCACTATATAGCCTCAGTTACTGACATCGGTGTTAAATACAATTTGGAAATATCATAAATCATAATCACGATGTACTGCACTAATTTCTGGGTTGGGACTCCATATCGTGAACAGAAACTCGCCAACTTTTTGCCGGAACAAATTACCTGCGCCTCCAGGGTCGAAGAACAACCTAGCTCAGCGTGCATGATATCCAAGAAGATAAATCACCATTGTGCAAACCTCCAATCCGGCTCATAAACGCGATGCACTGCAATTCCATCTAAACGAAACGCTCTTACTCGCGCGGGAATTGGCTTCAAGCTGTCTGCTCGCTGCGTAACGGGCATTTCCTTGCTGGCAATCTCCACTCTGTGTTGTTTGTTCAGCGTCGTGAGGGAGCATTCTCGTGGTTCATATAGATGTACAAGATACAAAAAATGTTCAGGTTTAAAACGGATAACTGTAAAAAAAGGCAAAAAAAAAATCTCTGTAACAGGCCGTGGAGGTCCAAAAGGCTGTGAGACGTCGAGGCTCCCACATTTTCTAGACAATCGGCTCATAGATGATGATGATGATGTCAGCCCTACACGCCGGTCGCCCTCTACCCTCAAGAAGATTCCTGGTACGCATTTCTATTAGAGGCTCAGTCTACCCCAGGGTCGTAGTGCGGTTGGAAGGATTAGGTAAACTGAAAAAAAAAACCAGTGACCTAACCGGCAATGGAACCCGTGATCTTCCGACTTATAGCATAGTGCCTCAATCAGTTACACTTGCCCATTAAATGCAAATCTGCACTAAACATATCTGAAGAAATCGTAGATTTTGAACAGAAAATGGGGGTTTTTGAGAGAGAGCGAGAGAGAGAGCTTTTGGGCACCTCTCTATTCAACACTGATGCAGCTGATCCCCAGGGAGCATTTTAGTGCATTTATTCGCTGTGAAAGATTAAGATTTTATGCAAGAACCCAATTATAAAAGTCCAGACAGTAGTTACAGTCTTGTAAATTATAAATCAATTTCGAAGAAGATCAGATCCTGTAATTTGAGGTTACTGCTTTGAAGATTCTTATTGTCGTCTTCTGTCTTATGGTACCGTCTAGCATGATACATCGAAACTTGCTTTACCCGGATCAGTTCCTCCTGGTGACATGCTTTCCGACGTGACTGTGGCAGCAAGCAGGGCATGAAGAGCACAGTGCAAGGTGAGTACTGCTCCTAGAAACGTCGGGTGCATCTGGACTGAAGGTGATCTGGCGCAAGTGGTCCTGGAAGAAGACAGAGCTTCATTATGTCAGGTACAGAACAGTGGACATTTCTTCACATGCTCAAGGAGTTCTCTTATTTTATCATACTGTTCTCTCCTGTCATCATTTCTAAAAGAAAAAACGAGATTAACGGCCGTGAGGATCCGTTGCGCTGACCACATGACACCATCTATTCGCAAAAATTGTCACTAACTTCGCCGACAAGCAGCGGTAGCTCGGTCTGTATAGTTCGCTTGCGGACTACAGGTCACGGAGTTTAATTTTTAGTTCTTAGTCGCCTCTTGTGTCATGATACAGCACAGTCCAAATGAATGAGAAGGCAGAATTCATCTCCGAACCTAGAAGACCCCACAATATGAATCTTAAATATTACACTCCATTTTCAGTGTAACAAATGGCACATGTATCACAGCTTACCACAAGCGTCAGATTGTAGAAATTCTAACTTAACTTGAGCTATTACATTCATCGGATATTATTATCTTTTAAATAACTCTTGTCTCATTAATCGTGTTTGCTTTCAAGTCCGTTTCCTCTGATATCTACAATTCGAACGATCGTTGTATTGGTATTTTGACCTGACGCCTAAAGCCGGAATACCTGAGTCACAGTAGAAAACATTGCTAGGCAACGACTCGGTAAACAGGTTTCAGTGGCAGCGAGTAAGCGAGCAACAATCGAGGTATTGTTGAGCTATAACGATTGAAACTGTGTTTTCTGTTGGATCCGCCCCGAGGCTGTATAACGAAGATCCCAGACCAGCTGAGATAGGATTGAGAGGTTCACATGACATTGCAGTCGAATGACTGAGAAGCCAGGGCAAGAGTGGAATTCAGATCTGAAAAGAGGACTTCATGAACGCCGCAGTTAGAGTGAGACTGGTATAATTAATGTAATGAAATCCGTTGCCAGGATACGACTAGCGAAACTGAGGAACCTATGATGTGTGTAACGGTGAACTATTAGCGATAGCGCTGTGCTACGTGTAGTCACGGGTTGAGTGTATAAATGCAATAAGTCCAATCCAAACCCTTTTAATGGCCGCTAATAGTACGTGACAGTACTGCACGAAGTAGAATTTCAGAAAGTGTTTACCGGTCAGGTTAAAATGGGACTCCGTCGAAATAAACTGACGTTTCGGAGGAACATGTTACATCCATCTTTAGGGTTGAAATATATGCCGAGCAAGAAACCAGCGTGAAAGTGTCAAGCAGAGCCCACAGCGATGTGAGAACTTCAAATCGTACGCTGAGAAATTAGTTTGAAACGAGTTAAAACAGTTTTTTTCAACATTAATGATTATGTTCCAATTTCGTCACTTCCTTAAAACCTCCCGAGATGAAACAGCGATTTTAAACAATATAAGAATCAATGAACCATTAAGAAATATGCTGACCAGACAGAAATTCTGCCTTACAAACAGGAACAATACTTGCTGTTTATAAAATACATGGAGCCGGGATAGCGCAGTCGGTACAGCGACTGGCTACGGGCTGGACGTGAGGAGCCGGGATAGCGCAGTCAGTATAGCGACTGGCTGTGGGCTGAACGTGAGGAGCCGGGATAGCGCAGTCAGTATAGCGACTGGCTACGGGCTGGACGTGAGGAGCAGGGATAGCGCAGTCAGTATAGCGACTGGCTAAGGGCTGGACGTGAGGAGCCGGGATAGCGCAGTCGGTATAGCGAATGGCTACGGGCTGGACGACCTAGGAATCGGAGTTAGAATCACAGTAGGGTCAAATATTTTCTTTTCTCCATGTCGTCCAGATCGGGTCTGGGTCCCACCCAACCTCCTATTCAATGTGTACCGGGGGCTCTTCCCCTGGGGATAAATCGGCAGGGGCCTGAAAGTGACCACTAAAATTCCACTAGTGCCGAGGTAACAAAAAATGTGGATATATACATCCACTCCCCCATACGCCTTCATGGCGTAGTGCTTAATTAAACACAGGGACAACTTTACCTTTTTGCATAAAGTATATAAAAATGTAACCATTGTTTCTGGTTACCAGTATATTTAATACAAATTCGAATGTTTTATTTGATATTCAGAATTACGGACGATTAGACATTGGGAACACCAGTGTTTCAGTCAGAGCGGGTTATCCCCTTTGCACTCCGTTTATTTACGGTTTATACAACAGAGCTCTCTGTAGCTCAGACTGGTCAATATAGCCTCGAATGATACGTGAATGATACGTAAGTAAATTAATTGCAAAGGGCGTTGAAGTAATTGTTGTGGCTTAGTTTGAGGTACTGTCTCTCTACACCAGGTATAGTTAGAATGGTCAAGTCAAAGAGGATGAGGTAGACAGAGCATGTAGCACGAATAGGGGAGAAGAAGATTGCATGTGAGATATTGGTAGGAAAACCAGTAGGAAAGAAACAACTTGGAAGACCAAGATGTAGATGAGCGTATGATATTAAAATGAATCTTAGAGAGATGGGATGAGGTACTATGGCCTGGATTTGTTTATCTCAGGATCGGGACCAGTGTAGGGCTCTTGTGAACATGGTAATGAACATTAGGGTTCGGCATAATTCTGTGGATTTATTGAGTAGCTGCACAAATGGCGGTTTCGCAAGAAGGGCTCAGTTGCATGTAGTTAGTTGGCCGCGCCATAGCTCAAGCGATTAGTCTCTGACTTCCCACTGTTGCAGCCCGGGTTCGAACCCGGGTCTGGTCAAGTGGGATTTGTGGTGGGCAAAGTGGCGCTGGGGTAGGTTTTCTCCGAGCACTTCGGTTTCCCCTGCCAATCTACATTCCACCAATTGCTCCATAATCACCCTCACCTATCAGCTGGGGCTGGTACAATAGGCCAGAAGTGGCCGCAGTACAAGGGACTTAGTCCCACCCCACTAGCAGTAAAAAAATAGTCAGTCACTAACGAAATGTGCCTGACAGCACTGAGAAAAGGCATGAAAACAAATTTGCATAGTCGATCACCTGGCCTATATTTTAACCTGAGACTCTCAAAATGCAAGACAGGAATGTTAAACACTGGAATGCGACGATGGGTTTACCACGTAGCTGGTGTACAGGAAGTGCGTCGTTTGTCACCGCGGCACTGAGCATCATCAGGTCTCGGCTTCTAGATATGGAGGCAAGCGACCACGTGAGATAACCAGGCGAGGAAATCCGACAAGGGATGATAATTCTGGGGTATGAGCTGGGGGATACCATCCCCTCACCATAAGAACATGATTTCAGCGCTTTTTCCGCTTATGTTTAATTAATTAAACACCACGCCACGAAGACGTATGGGGAGTGAAGGTGTTCTGCACCGTTCTATACCTCGGCACTAGATTGAAGTGAGTAGTCAGCTTCACGCCTAGGCCGCTTTACCCCAGGGGAAATCGTCAACAGTAACCATAGGACAGGAGGCTGGGTGGGCCCCAGAGTCCATCTAGACGCTGTGAAGGAAAAAGAAATTCTGTACCTGCGGGGAATCGAACTTGTGACATCCAGCCGTAGCTCGTCTGTATACTGACTGAGCTACCCCAACACAGTACTATATTTCTGCTAAGTGTATCAGATGGGTAAGGCTGGCGCACGTTCTTCGTTTTGCTGCTGGATACAGGAGTAATTTTCATCTTTGTGCTGTGCTGTTTGTTACAGGTCACATGGTACTGACAGTAAATATCAGCTGTTAGCTTTCCTTGTGAGACGATTAACTCTCATCCCATCGTGATTCATGTCAGTACATCCTGTTCACATGTTCACCCTCATCAGTACCCTTTTTTTTATTGCTAGAGGGGTGGGACTAAGTCCCTTGTACTGCGGCCACTTGTGGCCTATTGTACTAGCCCCAGATGATAGGTGAGGGTGATTGGGGAGCAATTGTTGGAATTAAGATTGGCAGGGGAAACCGAAGCACTCGGAGAAACCCTGCCCCAGCGCCACTCTGTCCAATACAAATCCCACTTGACCAGACCCGGGATCGAACCCGGGCCGCCGAGTTGGGAAGTCGGCGACTAACCGCTTGAGCTATGGCGTGGCCTTTATTACCCTATATCAACTGATTTTTAAAAGTCAATAAATTCAGAACCTCCGCTTTTACATTAGGCAAGCAGAAATGTCATTCGATTCGCTCGAGATATGGTTGCCTGTATTGTCCACATCACGAGATATAATTGCCGAAACTTTACAGAAGGCACGGCAATGAAGTCTAGAAATTAAAGTTTTGCTGCGTAATTAAAAGATGAAAGAGAACACCCGGAAATTGAAAGGAGGCACTACAATGAAGTTAGGAAATTGAAGTTTACTCATGTAGTTAAAAAGTGGGCGAAAACTCGAATTTGTACCCAAGCACTCTAGAGCATACTCTTTGTACATTGCCTTAACAGCTGTGGCTTACGTAATGTTCCCAAGAATATATAGCAATTTCGTAATTACTGTGGATGTTATCCATCCGCGGTAAGGAATAGGAAACATAAAAGTTATGTACCGAAGAAGAACCATCTGTAACACACGAAGAATTGCATAATAATAAATTCCTAAATCATCCATGACATGTATACAGTGGCCGTCTTTAGTGCATTCAATTTCACCTGTCACTTCACAACATGTTTCGGCAACATAGTGCCATCATCAGGTGTCCAAATTACGTCAATCTATTGCATTGCTTGCCCTCATATGTTTTCACAACACCATTTAAAAAGTATTTAAAAAGTGCGTATTTGTCAACTATGATAAATTTAAACTCGCTAAAACTTGTTAAGATAATTCATCTTATTTGTCTTAATTAAAACTTGCATGTGGTTCATTCACTATGGCGTCGTTTTTCTTATTTTCTGTGTAAACCGCGTCTTGTGATGTGTGTTCCCTTCTTAGCTGCGAGCTAATTCATTGCATTTTTACTTATTTCATTAAATAATTCACCTTTATACCATAGACATATTAAAATTGCTTACGATTATAGACAACATATGTGAAAGAAAGTTTTTATTATGCTTTTTTTCCTTTGGCACAACAGCCCCAATTTGAGCCTTGGCTTACC